GGCCTCCAAAGTGCTTGGATTACAGGCGTGAGCAACTATACCCGGCCAAAAGAATCTTATAATTTTGTATTTTTTGAGACAGAGTCTCACTCTGTCACCCAAGCTAGAGTGCAGTAGTGCCATCTTGGCTCACTGCAACCTTCGCTTCCCAGGTTCAAGTGATTGTCCTGCCTCAGCCTCCCGAGTAGCTGGGATTACAGGCATGAGCCACCACGTCCGGCTGGTTTTGTATTTTTACTAGAGATAAGTTTCTCCATCTTGGTCTGGCTAGTCTTGAACTCCCGACCTCAGGTGATCCGCCCGCCTCAGCCTCCCAAAGTGCTGGGATTATAGGCGTGAGCCACTGCGTCCACCTGACTTTTTGTTTTGTTTTTGAGATGGAGTTTTGCTCTGCCGCCCATGCAGGAGTGCAATTAATCAATTTCGGCTCACTGAAACCTCTGCATTTCGGCTTCAAGTGATTCTTTCTCAGCCTTAAGAGTAGCTGAGATTACAGGTGCCTGACCCCAGCCTCGGCTAATTTTTGTGTTTTTAGTAGAGATGGGGTTTTTACCATGTTGGCCAGGCTGGTCTCAAGCTCCTGACCTCAAGTGATCCGCCCGCCTCAGCCTCCCAAAGTGCTGGGATTACAGACTTGAGCCACCGCACCGGCCCCAAGTGACTCTCAAGGACTGGAGACACAGGCTATTATGAATTGCTAACCACAGTCGCTTAGTCTCCATTTTAAATAACAAAAGAGGAAATTCTTCACTCCCTGACCAACTCTCCATCACACAGTTGGCCAAGAGCAGTTAGCTACTTTCATCCTTAATTTGTGTCCTTTGGGAGTTGCTGCTTTCTTAGAGTCATTAAATGCATGTAGGCAGTGTCTGTTTTGTTAAGCCAGATTTGTACCAAATGAAAAGGCAGAGAAAGATCTAATTTAATGAAGATTTATTTTATTTTTATTTTTATTTTTGAGATGGAGTTTCGCTCTTGTCACCCAGGCTGGAGTGCATGGCATGATCTCTGATTACTGCAACCCTGTGCCTCCTGGGTTCAAGGGATTCTCTAGCCTCAGCCTCCTAAGTAGCTGGGATTACAGGCACCTGCCATCATGCCTGGCTAATTTTTGTAGTTTTTTTTTTTTTTTTTTTTTTTTTTTGAGACAGAGTCTCGAACTGTTGCCCAGGCTGGAGTGCAATGGCATGATCTTGGCTCACTGCCCACCTCCCGGGTTCAAGCTATTTTCCTGCCTCAACCTCCTGAGTAGCTGGGATTACAGGCACCTGCCACCATGTTTGGCTATAATTTTTGTATTTTTAGTAGAGACAAGGTTTCTTTTTTATTTTATTTTATTTTTTTGAGACGGAGTTTCGCTCTTGCTACCCAGGCTGGAGTGCAATGGCACGATCTCGGCTCACCGCAACCTTCGCCTCCTGGGTTCAAGCGATTCTCCTGCCCTAGCTTCCCAAGTAGCTGGGACTACAGGCATGCGCCACCATGCCCAGCTAATTTTTGTATTTTTAGTAGAGACGGGGTTTCACCATGTTGACCAGGATGGTCTTGATCTCTGGACCTTGTGATCCACTCGCCTCGGCCTCCCAAAGTGCCCGGCTAATTTTGTATTTTTAGTAGAGACGGGGTTTCTCCATGTTGGTCAGACTGGTCTCGAACTCCCAATTTCAGGTGACCGCCTGCCACGGCCTCCTAAAGAGTTGGGATTACAGGCGTGAGCCACCATGCCCTGCCAAGAGCTGGTTGAAGATTTCTAAGAACTAGATCAACAAATCAGTGGGATTGTAAAAGCAACTCTTGGGACACAGGTCGGGAAATTTTGTCCTTAATTCAGAGATTAAAAATCCAGCAATTTCATTTTTGGGTATTGAAACAGTAGAAAATAAAATTTTAGGGTGGTTTAATCCTGTAATCCCAGCACTTTGGGAGGTTGAGGCAGGCGGATCACCTAAGACTGGGAGTTCGAGACCATCCTGACCAACATGGAGAAACCCCATCTCTACTAAAAAAATACAAAGTTAGCTGGGCATGGTGGTGGTCGCTACTTGGGAGGCTGAGGCAGGAGAATCACTTGAACCTGGGAGGCAGAGGTTGTGGTGAGCTGAGATCATGCCATTGTGCCATTGCATTCCACTCTGAGCAACAAGAGTGAAACTCCGTCTCAGAAAACCAAAAACAGGCCAGGAGTGGTAGCTCACATCTGTAATACCAGCACTTTGGGAGGCTGAGGTGGGTGGATCACAGGGTCAGGCGTTCGAGACCAACCTGGCCAATATGGTAAAATCCCATCTCTACTAAAAACACAAAAATTAGGCCGGGCGCGGTGGCTCACGCCTATAATCCCTGCACTTTGGGAGGCTGAGGCGGTTGGATCACAAGGTCAAGAGATTGAGACCATCCTGGTTAACAAGGTGAAACCCCGTCTCTACTAAAAATACAAAAATTAGCTGGGCATGGTGGTGCGCGCCTGTAGTCCCAGCTACTCCGGGAGACTGAGGCAGGAGAATTGCTTGAACCAGGAGGCGGAGGTTGCGGTGAGCTGAGATTGTGCCATTGCACTCCAGCCTGGGTAACAACAGCAAAACTCCGTCTCAAAACAACAACAACAAAAAATACCCACAGAAATTAGATGGGTGTGGTGGCATGTGCCTGTAGTCCCAGCTGCTCGGGGCGCTGAGGCAGGAGCATCGCTTGAACCTGGGAGGTGGAGGTTGTAGTGAGTGGAGATCACAGGACTGCACTCCAGCCTGGGCAAAAGAGGAGGCAGACTCCATCTAAAAAAAAAAAATTTAAGACAGGGTCTCTTGTCACTCAGGCTGGAGTGTAGTGGCAGGATCACGGCTCACCACAGGCTTGACCTCCTAGGCTGAGGTGATCACCTTCTCTGTCAGCTGGGACTCTAGGCACCTGCCACCACACTTGGGCTAATTTTTTTTTTCTATAGAGACAGGGTTTTGCTGTGTTGCTAAGGCTGGTTTGCAATTCTTGTGCTCAAGTAAGCTGCCCGTCTGGGCCTCCCAAAATGCTAGGATTACAAGCATAAACTGTGCGTGGCCTCATTGTGGTTCTGATTTGCATTTCCCTAGCACCCCCTCGCCCCTTTTTTTGAGATGGAATTTTGCCGGGCGCGGTGGCTCACGCCTATAATCCCAGCACTTTGGGAGGCTGAGGCAGGTGGATCACGAGGTCAAGAGATCGAGACCATCCCGGTCAACAAGGTGAAACCCCGTCTCTACTAAAAATAAAAAAATTAGCTGGGCATGGTGGCGTGCGCCTGTAGTCACAGCTACTTGGGAGGCTGAGGTAGAATTGCTTGAACCCAGGAGGTGGAGGTTGCGGTGAGCTGAGATCGCGCCATTGCACTCCAGCCTGGGTAATGAGAGCGAAACTCCATCTCAAAAAAAAGATGGTCTCGCTCTGTTGCTCGGGCTGGAGTGCAGTGCTGAGATCTCAGCTCACTGCAACCCCTGCCTCCTGGGTTCAAGCGATTCTCCTGCTTCAGTCTCCTGAGTAGCTGGGATTACAGGCACACGCCACCATGCCCAGCTAATTTTTATCTTTAGTAAAAACAGGGTTTCATCATGTTGGCCAGGCTGGTCTCACAACTACTGACCTGTGATCCTCCTGCCTTGGCCTCCCAGTGTTGGGATTACAGGTGTGAGCCATCATGCATTGCTTTTTTTTTTTTTTTGAGACAGTTTTCCTGTTGTTGCTCAGGCTGGAGTGCAATGTCCTGATCTAGGCTCACTGCAACCCCCACCTCCTGGATTGAGGCAATTCTCCTGCCTCAGCCTCCCAAGTAGTTGGAATTAGTTTTTCTTGGAATTCCTACATAGCTACCTGTAAACTAACTGTTATGTTCTAGTTTGCCTGCGACAATCCTGATTTTCATTTTCCTAATGTAATTATGGCTATCCTAACCAGAAGCTACTTTATAGATTAAAATGTCTGTAGAAAATATGCTTAAGAGCAGAAAGTTGCCGGGCGTGGTGGCTCAATCCTGTAATCCCAGCACTTCGGGAGGCTGAGGTGGGTGGATCACGAGGTCAAGAGATAGAGACCATCCTGGTCAACAAGGTGAAACCCCGTCTCTACTAAAAATACAAAAAAAAAATTTAGCTGGGCATGGTGGCGTGTGCCTGTAATTTTAGCTACTCAGGACGCTGAGGCAGGAGAATTGCTTGAACCCAGGAGGCGGAGGTTGCGGTGAGCCAAGATCGCGCCATTGCACTCCAGCCTGGGTAACAAGAGCGAAACTCCACCTCAAAATAAATAAATAAAGAGCAGAAAGTTTACACTATACCCCAAATCTCCCCCTTCAGGAGGTAGCCTTTTATTTTTTATTTTATTTATTTATTTTTTTAGAGATGGGGTTTCTCCATGTTGGCCAGGCCAGTCTTGAACTCCTGACCTCAGGTGATTCGCCCAACTGGGCCTCCCAGAGTGCTGGGATTACAGGCGTGAGCCACTGCGCCCAGCCAGGAGGTAGCCTTTTCATCTACCTCCAACCTCTTCAACCCTATACCAGACTCTTACATGTCAAATTGTAGCCATTGTAAGCTACTCAGAGGCCACAGAAGCCCCAATGTGCATTCAGAAAGATTGGAGTTCAGGCTGGGTGAGGTGGCTCATGCCTGTAATCCCAGCAATTTGGGAGGCTGAAGTGAGTGGATCACGAGGTCAGGAGTTTGAGACTGTCTTGGCCAACATGGTGAAACCCTATCTCTATTAAAATACAAAAAATTAGCCAGATGTGGTGGCGGGCACCTGTAGTCCCAGCTACTCGGGAGGCTGAGGCAGGAGAATTCTTGAACCTGGGAGGAGAAGGTTGCAGTGAGCCAAGATCATATCATTGTGCTTCAGCCTGGCGAGAGCAAGACTGTCAAATATACCCACAAACAACAAATGAGGGAGGCCTTAGGGGTAATTAATAAATTGCCAGAACCTTTACAGTTTTTCTGGGGGGTGGGGGTGGGAGTGCAGGGAAGAGACCAGTCACTGACTGAGTTCATCCAACAAGAAGCCATAACTTTATTTATGATAGAAACAGTACAAATTTCAAACCAAGCTGCAGTTACTCCTTTGAGACACCAAAAAAGTTGCTTTCAGATGGTTACATTGTTAATTCCTGTAAGAGAGAAAAGATAATTAGCGGTTCTTATAGGCAAATCAGGAGAATTCAGGTCACTAAAACCTATGGCAACTCAGAAGAGGCTCTGGAATGAGGTTCCCTAACCAGTTGATATTTAGCAGAGAAAATAAAGTTACTCATAAGTGGTCAGGGCAGAGGGAATCAAGGAACAAAGGCTTGAACACTTACCATAATAGCATTTACAATATCATTACTGTTGTTCTTCAGGGCTCGGACTGCCTTTGCTCTGGACACATTTGCTTGTGACATGACCAATTCTATGTCTTTAACTTCTACACCTGTTTCATCGACCTGAGAGAGGAGAGGAAAAAGCAGTAAATTAAAGGCAAGAACAATTTCAGCAGTTCTTTGGAGTCTCCTGAATCTAGTTGATCCACCTGCCTTGGCCTCCCAAAGTGTTAGGAGCAATATTAATAGCTCAAAACTACTTAACAGGGCTTGAGAGCCTAAACAGTATAAAATCCACTCACCAATACAAACACATTGCTATATGGAGCGAGTTAAAAGTATACAAGATTTCCTATTCCTAGTATACCTCTTCCTCTTCACTCTCCTCTTGTACAGTTGGAGTCTGTGTGTTTTCTTGAATGTTTGAGACAGCTTCACCTTGAACTTTGAATTTCTCAGCAGCTGCCAGTTGTGCTTGCTGAGATAAATCCTCGATCTACAGGGTAGAGAATACAGATCCATGTGAGTAGATCAGTCTGAAGTCATTGAAAAGGAAATCATATAGTTTCACAATTCTCTCTGTAAACTCACTTCAGGTAACTTACTGTATAGCTTTAAACTGCTTGCCCTCACTCACAGGATGTATCACAGTATAAAAAGTAGTTGTTTAGGTTTAGAGCAGTGGTTCTCAACTGAGGGTAATTATGTCTCCCAGGGGGTACATGGCAATGGAGTATTCTGGGTAATCAAAACTGGTTGCGATGCTGCTAAATATTCATAATGCACAGGACAGCCCTTCCATAACAGAGAACTATCAGATGCAAAATGTCAGCAGTGCTGAGGTTGAGAAACCCTGGTCTAGAGCAATTCCCAAGAAAACATTACTCACCTTGGCTTCCCCAAATACTATGTAGGTATCCGAAGCAGGGCTCTTGTAGACATCTGGTTTTGTGATGACAAAGAGGATATTCTTAGATTTCCGGATAGTGACTCTAGTAACTCCTGTAACCTGTCGAAGACCCAGTTTGGACATAGCCTAAAGAGAAAATAATATCAGGTTTTCAACCTCTTTAGAAGCAGCCTAAAGAAGCAAGAAACATAATACAACATCCAAAGCAAAGCCTTTCCCCAGGCTAAGAAAAGTTCGTACAATAGAGAATGGCTTTTTTGTCATAGTAACTTCTGTTACCTTTTTTTTTTGAGACAAGTCTTGTTCTGTCACCCAGGCAGGAGTGCAGTGGTATAATCTCAGCTCAATGTAACCTCTGCCTCCCAGGTTCAAGCAATTGCTGTGCCTCAGCCAACTTAGTAGCTGGAACTACAGGCATGTACCACCACACCGTATTTTTATGTGTGGCATTTTTAGTATAGATGGGGTTTCGCCATGTTGGCCAGGCTAGTCTTGAACTCCTGACCTCAAGTGATCCACCTGCCTTGGCCTCCCAGAGTGCTGGGGATTACAGGTATGAGCCACCAACCCAGCTACTTCTGTTGCTTTACTTGTATAACCAAAATACCACCTGTTCCCCCAAAACCTATGGAAATAGAAAAAAAGAGTTCCACTCTCTATAAAGGTGCTTCATGAGATCCTGAAATCCTTTTCTTTTTTTAAATTTTATTTATTTGAGATGGAATCTCACCCTTGTTGCCCAGTAACAAGAGCAATGGCGTGATCTCAGCTCACCGCAACCTCTGCCTTCAGGGTTCAAGCGATTCTCCTGCCTCAGCCTCCCCAGTAGCCGGGATTACAGGTGCCTGCCACCAGGCCCAGCTGATTTTTTGTATTTTTAGTAGAGATGGGGTTTCACTATGTTGGTCAGGCTAGTCTCAAACTCCTGACTCGAGGCGATCTACCCGCCTGAGCCTCCCAAAGTGCTGGGATTACAGACGTAAGCCACTGTACCTGGCCCTGAAATCCTTTTCAAATAAATCTTACCTTCCGTGCCTTCTTTTCACTTCGACTTTGTTTTGCTTTACTGACAGGTTCTTCATCTATCTCAGCTGCTGCTGCCAGCTAAGAGGATAAAACAGCTGTTGGTTAACCAGAATCTAAGATCTGGATAGTATAATCTCCATGTGGTTCTTCCTTTATCAAGGGTCACAGTTCCAAATACAAAAGTCGCTCTGATCAACCCTGCTTCCTTGACCCAATTACTTATACCAGTTATTAGAGAATACCCACCTGGGCTTGTTGTGTGGTTGCCTGGGTGGAGTCCTGTTCTTCAAGCTCTGGTACTGATTCATCACTATCAGATTCTGTTCCAGATCCTAAGATGAGAAGCAACTTTTACTACTTTATAGTGGAAATTATAAGAGAAGGTACTTCACCACAGCCTGCCTGGACTAGAATTCAATGCCTCATGCTAGACCTCATGTTAAATGTAAACTAACTGGCTTGTGTGAAGCCAGCCTGATAGCCCCTTAGTCACTAACTAGTGCGTATATATCTAGTAAAGACCCAGCCCTAAACCCAGAAATGAGGACTAATCACTAGAAAGAGCTGAGCAGTTTAATATACTGCTTTCTTTCCTTCAAGGTCTTTGTTCTTGGCACAGGCAAATAATGACCCATATGACTCTAAATTTTACCCAATAGTCCAACTGTCCCTGAAAACTTCTGCCAGAAGGTGCCCCCAGATACACTTAGGTGGAAAAAAACAATGAAATCACACGGTGGAGGCGTAACAGGTACGGTGCTCTTCCCCTCAACTTTTAACTGAGTTGGAGGAAGTCAAAAGCAGTCATGTACACATATTCAGCCTCATTTTCAAACCGTCCACCCAAGCAATGTGATCTAATCAATATAGTTAGAAGATTCTCAATGATGTCGATGTGTAACTCTAATTTTTCCAAACATAATTCACATAAATTTCTCTCAATTGAAAAGCCAAGCATCAGTAAAGACTACTGAGGAAAAAAAGCATATACCTGCACCATTTTCAGGCTAGGAAAAACAGGTTTCTACATTTTTATGAAAAGGGAGTCCCTGGGTAACTGGTCATTACTAAGTCTAAGAAGGGAAAAAGAAATACGAATAGTTCACTTCTCTAATATTTTAGCAAATCTCAGGCCCAGGGACAAGGTTAGTGATGTGGTAGGGATTAGAGCAAATTAAAGGTCTGGCAGGTCTTGGTTTTCAATGTCATATCCACTAGGTAAAATAGATGGCATGGTAGGCTCAGGGTAGCCTGGGCCACACAAGATGATATACAAGGTACTATGTATGTATCTATCTGAAGTGATGAAAACCAAGATTTGGTTTCGTATTCCTAGAACTTTTGCATTTAAAAGTATCATTCTATGTTCTACGTCCAAACTCAAGCAGATTCACTGAAGAAAGCGGCGCATCACAGGGTTAGTATTGGTGGCTAGCCCCCAAGAGGGGTGTGGGCGACAGACACACCATGCACACAGCAAACCAAGGCAAATACCCTTGTTGTTCTTCAGAACGGGCTGCTTGGCAGAGGGGGTTGGGACAGGGATTCCAGCAGATTTAGGGGTGGGCATGTTGACGAGGACCGACTGGAAAGGCATTCCCCCAGAGATTGGTTCCGGGGGAATCAGAGGCGGCAGCTCATCCTCATCAGCAGGGGCTAGGGGTTTAGAGGGTGATTCCAACACCAGCCCAGAAGAGGACGGCAGAAATTGCTGTGTAGGAAGCAGAGGGGGAACTGGGGAGGGAGCAAGAGGCAGAGAGACTGGTGGGGTGGGTGCTAGAGAGACAGATACTGATTCAGGTTTAGGAAGGACTTTCTCAGAGGCAGCTGTTGTTAGAGGGATGGATGCCTGAGACTCAGGAGAAGCCAAGGGGCCCTTTGGGAAATGAGAAGCATCTTTGCCTTTTGCTGTCTTTGAAGAGCCTTTCTGGGCAGGGAGTAGAGGGGCTGGAGCCACTGTGGAAGGAGGTCCTTTGGTACCATTGTTAGCTGAGGGATCTGGGCACATAGGAGATGAAATAGCAGAACTCTTCTTAGTCTGTGGACCTTTCCCAGTGGGAGCTGTGATGACTGGCGTACTTTCTGAAGTTGGGGCAACAAATATTTCTTTCAGAGCTGTGGGGCCTTTCTTTGCTGGAAGCCCTTTAGATGCTTGAGGAACAGTGGCCCCCATTTTACATGTGACAGAAACTGGGGAGGTAGGAGTGTCTTTGAGGGAGGAAGGAGTCACAGGTAGCAAAGTGGGAGTCTCTTTGGGGGCTGGAGTTGCTGGGCCTTTTTTGGGGGATGGAGGAATCACAGCCAGAGTAGTAGGGGCCTCTTTGGGAAAAGGAGAAGTCATAGTTGGGGGAATGAGGACCTCTTTGTAAGAGGGAGGAGTCACTGCTGGCGGATTGGAGGTCTCTTTGGAGGATGCAGTAGCTGGGGCTTCTTTGGGGGCTGAAATTGCTGGGGTCTTTTGGGAGGAAGGAAAAGTCATAGCTGGAGGAATGAGGGCCTCTTTGGGAGCTGTAGTTGCTGGGGTCTTTTTAGAGAGAGGAGTCCCTGTTGGGGGAGTGGGGTCCCTTCTGGAGGATGGGGTAGTGGGGACCTCTTTGGGGGAAGAAGAAATCATAGTTGGCAGAGTGGGGGCCCCTTTGGGGGCTGGAGTTGCTGGGGCCTTTTTGGGAGAGGAAGTGGGGGGATGTTTGGGGGCTGGAGGCTCCTTGGGGGAAAGAGGAGTCACTGCTGACAAAGTGGGATCTCCTTTGGAGGATAGGGTAGTTGGGACTCCTTTAGGGGAAGGAATTGTAGCTGGGCCTCCTTTGGGGGCTGAAGTTGCTGGGGCTTTTTTGGGGGAGACAGGAGTCACTGCCGGGGGAGTGGAATCTCCTTTGGAATGGGTAGCTGGAGCCTTTTTGGGGGAGAGAGTTGAAGCTGGGGGAGTGGGGTCCTCTTTGGAGGATGGGGTAGTTGGGCCTCCTTTAGAGGAGGGAGTTGTAGCTGGGAGAGTGGGTACCCCTTTTGGGTGTGGAGTAGCTGGGCTTCCTTTGCGGGATGGGATAGCTAAGCCTCCTTTGGGGGCTGAAGTTGCTGGGGCCTTTTTGGGGGAGACAGGAGTCACTGCTGGGGGAGTGGAATCTCCTTTGGATGGGGTAGCTGGGCCTTCTCTGGCAACTGGTATTGCTGGAGCCTTTTTGGGAGAGAGAGGAATCATTGATGGGGAAGCAGAGTCCCCTTTGGCAGATGGGGAAGCTGGGTCTCTTTTGGGGGATGGAGTTGCAGCCAGGGGAGTGGGGCCCTCTTTGGAGGATGGGGTAGTTGGGCCTCCTTTAGGTGAGGGACTTGCAGCTGGGAGAGTGGGGGCCCCTTTGAGGGATGGAGTAGCTGGGCCTCCTTTGGCGGATGGGGTAGCTGGGCTTCCTTTTGGGGAGGGAGGAGTCACAGCTAAGGGAGTGGGGGCTCCTTTAGGGGGTGGGCCATCTGAGCCTCCTTTTGGGGAGGGAGGAATTGTAGCTGGGGGAGTGGGAGCCTTTTTGGGAGGTGGGGTATCTGGATCTCCTTTTGGGGAAGGAGGAGTTATAGCTGGGGGAGTGGGGACCCCTTTGGGAGGTAGAGTAGCTGGACCTCCTTTTGGAGAAGTCGGAGTTGCAGCTGGGGGAGTGGGGACCCCTTTGGGGGGTGGCATAGCTAGGCCTCCTTTTGGGGAAGGAGTTGCAGTTGGGGGAGTGAGGGCCCCTTTGGGAGGTGGGGTATCTGGACTTCCTTTTGAGGAGGGAGGAGTTGTGGCTGGGGCCCCTTTGGGGGGTGGGGTAGCAGGACCTCCTTTTGGAGAGGATGAAGTCGCAGCTGAGGGGGTGGGGGCTCCTTTGGGGGATGGCCTAGCTGTGCCTCCTTTGGGGGAGGGAGGAGTCATAGCTGCGGGAATGGGGGTCATTCTGGGGGATGGAGGAGTTGCAGCTGGGGGAGTGGGGACCCCTTTGGGGGGTGGGGTAGCAGGACCTCTTTTTGGAGAGGTTGAAGTCATGGCTGCGGGGGTAGAGGCCCCTTTGGGGGATGGTGTGGCTGAGCCTCCTTTGGGGGAGGGAGGAGTTGTAGCTGGGGGAGTGGGGGCCTCTCTGGGGGATGGAGTAGCTGGGTCTCCTTTGGGGGAAGGCGAGGTTGCAGCTGGGGGCATGGGGGTCTCTTTGGGGGATGGGGTAGTGGGGCCTCCTTTAGGGGCTGGAGTTGCTGGGGCCTTTTTGGAGGAGGAAGTCATAGATAGAGTGGAGGCCTGTTTGGGGGCTGGGGTAGTTGGGCCCTCTCTGGGGGAGGGTGGATTCACAGCTGAAGGAGTGGGGGTCTCTTTGGGGGATTGTGTTACTCCTTTGGGAGACAGAGGAGTCACAGCCAAGGGAGTAGGGGCCCCTCTGGGGGATGGAGGAGTGGGACAATGCTTTGCATTTGGTGAGTCTTTAGAGCCTTGAAAAGAAAGACTGTTCTCTGGAAGAAGTAACGCTTCAACTGGAGAAACAGGGGATGAGAGATTTCCAACAGGAGTATCAGGGCCAGCAGAACCCTTCTTGGTTGGAGGTCTTTTAGTCTGAGGAGACACACTAACCCCTGAAGGAGATGGGGAGTCGGCTAGGTAAGTCAGAGTTCCTTTGGAAGATGCAGTAGCAGAAGTACCAGAGTCTTCAGTTGGACACCCTTTGGGAGAGGAAGCAACAGGTGCCAGTGCTGAAGTATGAGAAATACCATCAGCCTTTTTTGTACCCGAAGGAGTCCCAGCTGGGGAAAGAGAGGGTGAGGGCACAGACTTGGGAATTTCAGGGGCCAGCACTACGGTAGTCAGAGAAGCAGAGGTATTCTGGGGGGATAGAGACACAGGACAATTTTCTGAGGCTGTAGGAACCAAGGGTAAAGTAATAACAGTGGAAGTACCTTCCTTAGCTGGGTGGTTTTTAGGAGCTAAAGAGACAGTTCCTTCTAGAAAAGGGCTGGCTGTAGTTGTATAAGTTGAGGTACCTTTGGCAATTGTGGGAGCCACCCCAGCAGGGTTGGCACTTTCCAAAGGAAATGCAGCCACTGTTGGGCTAGTGAGAGAGCTTTTGAGAAGCAGACCAGCAGAGTCTGGGCCTGCATAAGAATCTGTCTTGATTACAGAGGCCGGGGAGTTAACACCCAGGGGAGAGGTTGTAGAGCTGGCTGGTCTACCTAGAGGGAGAGGCCCTCCAAGGCTTTTCTTTGCTAGGGTGGCTTCAGGAGAAAGAGATGTCTCCGGAGAAGAGGATGTACTTTGGAAAAAAGCAGATTTTTTTTGGGCTGCCTGGGCTAATGTTAATACAGTAGAGTCTTTCTTGGTGATGAGTTCTGCCTGGGCTGGAGAGAAAGGGGCTCCTTCAGGAGAGGCAGGTACAGTTTGGAGATTTTTTTGTGTTGGAAATTTAATCAATACTGAACTGGGGAGATTTTTGAGGTCTTTAGGGTCTGGCAGAGGAGGAGAGACTGGTATCCCCAGAGTGGTTGTGACTTGAACAGAAGGCTCTTTGGGAGCCACAGGTGCCATAACCAATGCAGCAGGGGAATTTGGTTCTACGTTGCTTATGGGACCTGAGGAAATTGGAGGAGAAAGACAAGTAGCTACCTCAAAGGTAGTAGGTGCTGCAGCAATAGTACAGGGGTTAGTCACAAGTGGGGTGGTTCCAACAGAAGAAATGGGAATCTGGGCCACTGAAGGATGATGAGTGGCATTAGGAGAGCTTCTGAGAATGAGAGAGGCTGTAGGAGATAATGAAGAAGAGGTAGCTACTTTTAAGGTGCCAGAAGGGCTGCAGGTTATGCTAGTGATGGTAGAGGGACCTTTGTCAACAGATGGAGCCACCACTGGAAAGGCAGCCACAGTAGCAGGAACTACCTCATTCCTGGAAGGAAGGGGAGGAATTACAGATCTCTGCGGAGGATAAGAGGCCCCTGTGGAAGAATGATCTGTAGAAATGGTCTTCACTGTAGGGTCTAACAAAGCACCAGAACCTGTCTGATCTAAAGGTTGGACAGAACCAAAAGAACTCTGATGTAAAGGTGCAAGATGAGAGCCCAGAGAAATGGAAAAATCTGGGGTGGTGTTGGGACCCGCAGTCTTTTGAGAAGAGGTCATGAAAAGAAGTGACTGAGTTGCAAGAGGTAAGGCAGCAGGTGGACTAACAGGCCCCTTCAGGCTGAGGCTTCCTGGGTTTTGTGGAGAAGTCAGATCTGAGGAAATGGTGGTATCTTTGATCTGAGAGGAAGTGATGGCTACGGTAGTGGTGGGTGTTATCTGAGGACAGGAGGCCACTCCAGACTGAACAGAGGCCAAGGGAGTCACACAGTGGTAAGGAACAGCACTGACTATACCTGGAGGATTGGGGTTACCTTTCAAATTAGGGACTACCTGAGAGGGAACTTTAATAAGATTAGTCTTTGGTTCTGGGGGAGCAATGGGAGCTGACAGAGGCATCACTGACCCTGACTCAGCTACAGTCACTGAAGGTGGTGAAGTAAGGAGGTTAGGCGGAAAAGCAGAACTCTTCTGAATTGAGTGGGGAGCCAGGGCAACCAGAGCTAAGGGAGCTGAAGAGGAAGGGGCCCCTTTCAGATTTGGAGCTATCATGGGAGAGGCCAGAGCTAAGGCAGCTGGGGAGATGGGAGGCCCTATTAGGTTTGGTAGGAAGGTTGGGGCTTCAGGGGAAGTTCCCAAAGGTAGGGTTGTTCCAGAGGATGACTGGGGAAAAGGAAGTTCAAATGGGGTTGAGGCAATAGTAGAGGGGGAAGGGAATGGAGCAGCCTGGTTAGCAGGTGACAGAGGGCACTGCTGCGGGGTAGGAGAGCAAGGAGGGGGAAGGGTAGGTCCAGGCTGCCCTAAGGCAGCAGTGACACTCAAGGCTGAAGACATAGGTAGCACAGCTGGAGAAAGGCAAAAGGAGATAAAGAAGGGGAGGGGGGAGAAAAAAGGTGAGTTATGCAGCCCAACTTGGTACAACATACCTCACAGGAAGCACTGGAGTTTAAATCTGACAGTCTAAGTCACCAGGCAGGATTAGATAAAGGTGACAGGCAACAACAACCTTCCCCAAACATTTTTCAGTGCCGAGAAGCCATTACTCTCCTAATTTCTCACACTTCCCAAGGTCTACTAAAGCAAACCAACTATTTTAGGGTGAGAACAGTCTAAGAGCAGCCTATCTCTAAATGGGGAGGACAGCCCCTTGGTAGGTTGGGAACATGCTTTCTACTCTTTCCCAGTGGTGTCCTCTCCTTGCTTCCTGAAATGGACTACATTCCCAAATCTTTCTCACAGCCAATAGAATTACCAGTAGAACAGCTGTGCTATTCTGTCCACCCAAATATCATGAACTAATGGAAAGAGATACCAAAAAGTAGTGAGTAATGATAATGATGGGGAATCTGAACTGAATGAGAAAAAATGGGGTTGTATACTTTCAGACTTCCACTAGGCTAGGAAAAATTGAACTGTTAGAATAGTTTTGGGAAGGAGGTGCATAGCACAATTCAGCTCTTCCTGAAGTTGAAACTCTTCAGAATTTAATACCAAGTATTAAGTCACTTAGCTTCTTTATACCTTACCAGTTTACTTACTCTCAAAACCCAAACAAGAAAACCAACCATAAAATGACTGGACTTAATAGTCTCTATAAACCTTCCTAGGTGATGTTAATTCTTCAGACATCAATCCAAGATGAATTAGACCTCCAGGCAGAGAGCTTACTCACAAGGGTAAGGACTGTATTATGAAACTGTAACCCAACTTGTTAAACCAGATTGTAGTGCTATTTTGGAAGAGAATTGGAGGGCCAGGTGCTATGGCTCACACCTGTAATCCCAGCACTTTGGGAGGCCAACGCAGGTGGATCAAGAGGTCAGGAGTTCCTAACCAACATGGTGAAACTCCATCTCTACTAAAAATACAAAAATTAGCCAGGTGTGGTGGCGTGTGTCTTAATCCCAGCTACTCAGGAGGCTGAGGTAGGAAAATCACTTGAACCCAGGAGGCGGAGGTTGCGGTGAGCTGAGATTGTGCCACTGCACTCCAGCCTGTGTGACAGAGCTAGACTCCGTTTCCAAAAATAAAAAACAAGAGAGAATTAGAGTGGCAAGAAGACACTGGATCCCCACTCCTTACCCTGGAATTTAAGTATTTCATTCTGTCAAAATACACCAATATTTGGCATGACAGTAAAACAGTTATCTCTGGCATTCAAGAGATAACAGAGAATTGGATCAACAAATGCTCAATGCCTAGAAATGAATGTTAAAGGAGGGGAGGGAAGCCCATAATACAAAAATTCTAATTCGAAATTCACTCAACCAGTCATTCTGAAGTTCTTATGGCATCCTACTACGGAAAAGACAAGGTGGTTCAACCTGAGAGTGGACAGGCCAAAGTCTAACGATTACAGGAAAGCACTACCAAGCATGTTCATCAGAATTAAAAACACGGAATGTATTTTCTTCTGACTGGACCTCAAGATGGAATAAGGCCTCAAATACTTGCTTTGCCACTATTCCTTGAGCTTCATTCTTCTTTCTAATAGACTATCATCACAGACAAAATCCTGTGGATTTATCATTGGGGTACTCCCTTAATATAAGCCAACTGTACAACTCACACTATTCAGGAATACGTTTAATAGCACTAAGGACTGTTTCAGAAGTAAAGGCATTACTTTTGAAGCTTGAATCCGATTATTTTAAATTCATCTGAATTTCAAGTCTTCATATTTGCAAAATGAAGTTGCTCAATTACACAATCTCTAAAATCTTGTTTAGTACTGAACTTACAGAATCAAGAGATAACAGAGAATTGGATCAACAAATGCTCTTAACAAATGTTAAGAGATCAGTACTTTATTTTTTCCATTCCTTATACCCCTTGTACTCCAAGAATTTCATATTGTTTATACTCCAGCTCAGAGCTCCCCTTTCTCCTTCCTAGCAGCTGTATTAATCCCTTCAGCTGCTAAAATCAAACAGGTGGGAAGCTTAATGCTTTCAACTATAAGCAAGTCTACTGTAACTCCAAAAAGGGACAGGAATTGCCCTTAAATAACAAATGAAATTAAAAAAAAAAATCCTAAAAAGGTGAGAATGAAGATTACAGCCTGAAGATTTCCTTCATTTAGCTCTGCACAATTGACTCAGAAAGGTTATCATTTTAAGAACTTCTCACCACCTCCTCCTAAGTTTTCTACAGATATGTTTTAACCAGAATTTAAAATTAGCTTTCACGCTCATTAATTTCAACACTGAGGATAAAAGAAGGATTTATTTCAATCCAGGGTTTCACACAATGATGCAGGAACTATTCCAGCACACTAGAAATATCTCAACCCATAAACAAGTTATCCGACCTAGGAGGACTCTGGGGCCCAGTAGGGCACATTTACCACGAGCAGGCATCTCATCCAGACATGTGATAAAGGCACAATGCCAAGCTGTGCTAACTTAAACCTTGATGCAACTTGCTGACTGGAGCTTCACAAATGCTCCAGGCTCCTTGGCCTGTGTCATTCAGTTCCAATAGGTAAGAATCACTGAACCCCTTCCCTGCTCAGTTTTCCTTGGTGAGGTGGGGGTTCCACAGAAGAGCTTTTGAGGCAACAGACATAACATAGAAAGCAAGCTAGAGAACTTCTAACGTCCACGAATCTTAAAAATATATTTTACTCCAATTACCTAAAGTAGTATCTCCAGGATAGTAGTTAATTTAACGGTCTATCTTCCTTGGTAAATGGACAACCCCATCCTTTTACAAAGTGTATTTCCCCTTTGTCATTTTGCTCACCAAATGGCCTTAGGGTCAATTTTAATTAACGGCAAGAGGGGTAGGGGAACCTACCTGTCTCAGCCTGGGGCTGCGGCAACTCCTGCTCTGTAGCAGGGACGGTTTCTGTGGCTTCACCGGGCATTTCTGAAGGAATAAAAAGGAGGCCTGAATTGACTGGGATATATTCACTTGCCCAACCCAGTTTTTTTAAAGTCTTCTTAAAAACTCTGAGGAGGGCTGTTAGAAAAAAATCGTGAGGGTGTTCGGGATCAACCTTCCCCAAAGAACCTGGGAATGAGAGGTAAATATGTGACCCTCACGTCTGTATCAAGGCCAGCAATTCCCAGTATACTCTCAACCCGAGAAAGGATCTCGGTATGGCTTCCGATCATAGGGAGACTTCAGACGCTACTGTGAACCCCCTCCATTCCTAATATATTGCCTGTGCTCCTGGACTACGTTTGCCGACTTTGGGGAGCCACGAAGGAAAAGACGGTGCTCTAAGTCCAACACTTGCTTGTCACAAAGAGAACGGTGTTGGGGTTCTAAGGCTGTGACCCCTTACCCTCTCTGGATCCCGTGAAGCAGTTCCCAAAACAAGACGCACTCCGCTTCCGCCCTCAACACTGCAATTACTCCCACCTCTGCAGGCTCGGATTTCGGGCCCGACCCGCAGCCCTTCTACCCTGCTTTTGCCAGGACACCACCCGCAGACCCCATTTTGTCCGGAGGCCCACGGGCGAGTAGGAAACCTGTGGTCCCGTAAAGCCTCCGACTCTCCTTATCTCTCAGTCCCCGGGGCAGCTTAGCCCGAAAGAAAGGTGGATGGCAGCGGATAGAGAGTATCGGCGCAGAAAGTACTTACCGTGCAGGGAGCGCGGAATCAAGATGGCGGCAGAAAGAGAGCGAGCGAGAGCGTGACCCACGCCTGTTGCAGAAGGAAGCCTGGAGCGGAGTGGGTGGGACTAGGATCCGATTCCGGGTCAAGAGCTGCCAGCAGCCACTTCCTTTGAGTGACCGCCAGGCTGTTCCCATGGCGGGGGTGGTGACAAGGGCTAAATAAGGGTAAGAATTCAGAACAGGACGCGCAGGCCTGGCAGGTCTCGGCTCGAAGCTACGCGGTCCTCAGTGCGAAGCCGACTCCGCCCTCCGGTCCGCTAAGTAGCGACTGTGGTATTAAGGCCACTTCCCGATTTCCCTTTCTCAAATAGTGCAGGGAAAGTAAGACATTAAATAGCCAATGCTACAGAGACTGCATTCACAGCATTGGACGGTGAAAGTGACCTAGGCTAACCAATTATTTTTGGAACACACAGTGTGAAAATTAACATTTTAAAACCTGCTGGACCGCCCCCCCCCAAAAAAACCCCGTTTTAAAACGAGAGATGTGATGAAGCACATAAAACTTCTGTTCAGATTATCGATCTAACTCGATTTTTCTTGTTCTGTTCAATGACTAAAGACACTCAAACGTTGTCACCAGATGACAGCGACTCATGACTGTTAAACTCTCTGTAACAACGTTAGTTGTACCCCTCCCAAAAACGCTGCTTGTAACCAATCATATTCTGTAATTATGTTCCAACCTCGTATGGATAACGTAATCCAGCTAAAAACTCTTGTCTCTGCCTAAATAAATGAAATCTTAACTTCCCTACTTCTGAAGGCTTACTCCATTCTTTGGAGTTGGTTTTCTGGTTGGTCCATCCTCACACTGCCCTTAAATACACTCTTTAAATAGATTCTCACCCTTTTATTTTAAGTTCACAACGAATTAGGCCGCTGTTGAAATTATAAAGCTGCAGATTCTCCTTCTTAGAAAAAAATAATATAGGCATATATACAATTCCTTTGCTTGCTACTTTGGGCGCTTCTTGGATTTTTCTTTTATGAGACTTTGGCTTTTGTTGCCCATGCTGGAGTGCAGTGGGCGATGTCGGCTCACTGCAACCTCAGCCTCCTGGGTTCAAGCGATTCTCCTGCCTAGGCCTCCTGAGTAGCTGGGATTACAGGCATGCGCCACCACGCTAATTTTTTGTATTTTTAGTAGAGATGAGTTTCTCTGTTGGTCAGACTGGTCTGGAACTCCTGACCTTGGGTGATCCACCCACCTTGGTCTCCCAAAGTGCTGGGATTACAGGCTTGAGCTACCATTCTAAACTTATTCATTCTAGGTGTCTGGGACCCCACCTTAAGAAATCATACTTTGTGCAACTGTATTCTTGAAAATTAGGATGTAAAATCAGTGCTGTGCTAATGAAAAGGCTCTCTTATCTTCTCGCAGCCCCACAAAAGAACTCAACAAATACATGCTGTACTTGAATTAGTTAAACCAGCCAACATTATTTTATTTATTTTTTTGAGGTAGAGTGTTGCTCTGTCGCCCAGGCTGGAGTGCAGTGGCGTGATCTTGGCTCACTGCAACCTCCTCCTCCTTCGTTCAAGGGATTCTCCTGTCTGAGCCTCTGGAGTAGCTGGGATTATAGGCATCCGCCACACCTGGACCCCTGACTTTAGGTTATCTGCCCACCTCAGCCTCCCAAAGTGTTGGGATTACAGGCGTGAGGCACTGTGGCTGGCCTGATTTAATAGCTTTAAAATGGCTGTGGCCGCCCTTTTTTTTTTTTTAAGAGATGGAGTCTTACTCTGTTTTCCAGGCTGGAGTGCAGTGGCCTGATCTTGGCTCAATGCAACCTACGCCTCCTGGGTTCTAGCCATTCTCCTGCCTCAGCCTCCCAAGTAGCTGGGACTACAGGCACATGCTGCCATTCCCAGCTAATTTTTTAGTAGACATGTTCACCGTGTTATCCAGGCTGGTCTCAAACTCCTGAGCTCAGGCAATCCACACATCTCAGCCTCACAAAGTGCTAGGATTACAGAGGTGAGCCACCATACCCGGTGTGGGAGCCTTTTAAGGGAAGCAATGAAAATTTAAAATGCTTTGAAAGCTACTGTAACATGTCTGAAATCCTTACCGTAGTGAAATGAAGAATAGGATTAGTGCATTAGAATTAAGTGAGATAGTGGGGTTTACCAGGAATGGGAAAATCTGAAATCCTCCTCAAATAGGAGAGGCAATATTATGGAGTCATTAAAGACAGATTCTGAAATAAGACTCCTTTGTCTGAATCTATTAGGTAGTTCAGGTAGTTAACCTATAGATATATATTCACCTCAGTTTCCTGATCTGTAAAAGCGGAAAAATAGTAGCTACTTGATAGGATTGTTAGGAAAATTAAATTAGTCCATGTACACACACACACACACTGGAAAAAGAAACAGTCTACCTCATAAAATTATTACATGTAATCTTTATATAAAACAAAAAAGTTTGTTACTATTAAACTGTACATATAATTAATATATGATCTGGAAGATTTTCAATGCAGTCCTTTAGTCCAGTTAACTTCAGAAGAAGGGACCAGAAATAGCCAATCATCTCCTTATACAAAACTACATATTGACTATTTTTCTTTTTTGTTTTTGAGACAGAATCTCCCTCTGTTATCAGGCTAGAGTGTAGTGGCGTGATCTCAGCTCACTGCAACCTCTGCCTCCCAGGTTCAAGTGATTCTCCTGCATCAGCCTCCTGAGTAGCTGGGACCATAGGCACGTGCCACACGCCCAGCTAATTTTTATATTTTTAGTAGATGGGTTTTCACCATGTTGGCCAGGATGGTCTCAATCTCCTGACCTGGTGGCCTACTTCGGCCTCCCAAAGTGCTGGGATTACAGCTGTGAGCCACCGCACCTGGCCTCATATTGACTATTTTTCTTTCTTCCCCAGCAAGCACACTTTTTCCTACCTCTGTGGTAATGACTAGGCAAGGAAGGATGTATTTTCTTTTTGTTTTTTTCTTTTTCTTTCTTTCTTTGAGATGGAGTTTCGCTCTCTTGTTACCTAGGCTGGAGTGCAATGGCGTGATCTCGGTTCACCGCAATCTCTGCCTCCTGGGTTCAGGCAATTCTCCTGCCTCAGCCTCCTGAGTAGCTGGGAATACAGGCACGCGCCACCATGTCCAGCTAATTTTTTGTATTTTTAGTAGAGACGGGGTTTCACCACATTGACCAGGATGGTCTCGATCTCTTGACCTTGTGATCCACCCGCCTCAGTCTCCCAAAGTGCTGGGATTACAGGCGTGAGCCACCACGCTCGGCCTTCTTTCTTTCTTTTTTTTGAGACAGGGTCTGGCTCTGTTGCCCAGGCTGGAGTGCAGTGGGGTGATTATGGCTAACTGCAGCCTCCACCTCCTAGGCTTAAATGATTCTCCCACCTCAGTCTCCTGAGTAGCTGGGACTATAAGCACACGCCACCACACCTGGCTAATTTTTGTATTTTTTTTGTAGAGACGAGGTTTTGCCATTTTCCCAGGATGGTCTTGAACTTCTGGCCTCAAGTGATCTGCCCACTTGGCCTCCCGAAGTGCTGGGATTATAGGTGTGAGCTACCACGCTCAGCCAGTGATTTTCTTAAGTTGGCAATTTTGAAGATAGAAGCCATTTCTGTGCCCCTTTGTTTCTATAGTTCTAATACATTACTGAATTGGCAAATCAAGGAAAGGGAAGTCAGTAGTCTTTGGGTATATTTTTGCTATCTTTAAGAACTAAATATTGGCTGGGTGCTGTGGCTCACACCTGTAATCTCAGCATTTTGGGAGGCAAAGGCAGGGGCATTGCTTGGGAGACCAGCCTGGGGAAGATGGCAAGACCCCCATCTCCACAACACAAAAAAACAAAACAAAAGACTGGCATGGTAGTGCATACCTGTAGTCCCATCTACTCCAGAAGCTGAGGCATGAGGATCCCATGAGCTCAGGAGTTAAGGCACTTTAATGCTAGACATATTTATTAAACGATAATGAAAGCTTAAAACATCTCTTTTTAAAAGCATAATACGTCTTTCCATTCTCATTCTGAGTTCTTTACTGATTAGTTTTGGACTAATGAGTGTCTAGAAATTTTGTATTTAGGTTTAGTCGACACAGTTTTCCTAGAACCTGAAGACTTAATAATCCATAGTACACATAAGCTCAAATAATGAGGAATTTTCAGCTGGGCGAGGTGGCTCACACCTGCAATCCCAGCACATTGGGAGGCCCAGGCAGGCAGATCCTCCCAAGGTTAGGAGTTTGATACCAGCCTGGGCAACATGGTGAAACCGTGTCTCTACTAAAAATACAGAAAACTAGCTGTGCATGGCAGTGTGTGCCTGAGTATCCCAGCTACTCTGGAGGCTGATGCAGGAGAATAGCTTGAACTCAGGAGGCAGAGGCAGAGGTTGCAGTGAGCCAAGAGTGCATCCAGCCTGGGTGACAGAGCAAGACTTCAGCTCAAAAATAACAACAACAACAACAAAAACACCAAAAACCAACCAACCAACCAAATAATGAGGAATTTTCTTTTCTTTCTTTCTTTTTTTTTGAGATAGAGTTTTGCTCTTATTGCCCAGGCTGGAGTGCAATGGTGCAATCTTGGCTCACTGAAACCTCTGCCTCTTGGATGCAAGCGATTCTCCTCAGTCTCCCAAGTAGCTTGGATTACAGGTGTGCATCACCACATCTGGCTAATTTTGTAATTTTAGTAGAGATGGAGTTTTACCATGTTGGTCAGGCTGGTCTGAATCTTCTGACCTCAAGTAATCCACCCAAATCATCTGCCTCCCAAATCACCTGCTGGAATTATAGGTGTGAGCCACAGTGCCTGGCAGGAATTTTCTTAAAATATAGGTCAAGGAGTCAATGTGTTGACTGCATTATAGTCTGTTTCATATAAACCAAAAGATTAAAACAAAGACTAATTATAGAGGAAACAATGTTAAAGGAAATGCAAAGGAAGGAAAATTTTCATTGTCATTAAAAGCACCAGCCTAACAGCTTGCTTCTCAAATTTTCATTAGACACAATATAAACTAGAATGACTGTTTTGTTCAGATTGGTTGTAAAACAAGGCAAGAGAAATCTGACACATTAGAACCCATTTCACAAAATCAGACTTTAAAAATTGAAGTACCTGGGTACTGGATCATAACTCAGAAGCAAAAAATAAATACAAAAATAAAATAAAATAAAAAGTAAAAATTGAAGTACCAGCCCAGTGAGGCGGCTCACCTGAGGTCAGGAGTCGAGACTAGCCTGGCCAACATGGTGAAACCCCGTCTCTACTAATAATACAAACAAATTAGCTAGGTGTGGTGGCACATG